CTCTTTCCTCTGTTATGCTTCCTACCAGACTTAACCTATCCCTATTGGCACGTTCAGATCTTTGTAGTGGGCATCTTTGTATAGATGGGTTCACATTCACGGTGCTACACACAACATTACATGAGCAATAACTTCTCTTTAATCAATAAACTAAATGTTATATGCTTTCCTCCCTTGGCTTACAAGACCTTACCCTACTCTGGTTTTCCTCCTTACTCTTTTTCCATCTACTCATTACATGCAGATGTTCACCAGGCCTCTTCTGATTCTGCACACTCTCCCTAGTAGTCTCATCTATACCTGAGATCTTAACTACCACTATTGCTGAGACTCTTGACTCTGTCTCTCCAACTCAAAGAAACTTCTTCCTCCTAATTTTTCTTGACCAAGTCCTTCCAGGCCAGGTTGCATACTTCTCTGTATAGTCTCAAATTATGCTTATATAATTCTGAGGCACTCAATTGCAGTGTATTCTAACTGTTACAGTTTTAGGTCAGGTGTCTTTCCTACATGCCCCAGAACACATTCTTATTTATCTTTACAGCATTTACTATGTTATATTACAAATTACTGTTTACTTTATCCATTTCTCCAACTAAACAAAAAGGCAGTAGACTTGGCACTGTGTCTTAGTCATAATCTCCCACGCCTAGCATAGTGCAAGGCACATAAAAGGCACTCAAATATTGACTACACCCATGAACAGATGAAATAAAATTTGCTTTAAATTGGAAGAATACAACTTCTGAAAGAAAACTTCAGAGATTTATTTTTTTCAAGTGACAAAAATAGGTCAAAAAGGTTAAGTGACTCACCCAGTCAAGCACCGGTCTCCTGAATTACAATTCTCTTCCCACGAAATCAGTGCCTATTAAAGTGTGCTTATTGATCTAAGCTTTCCATGAAGCTCCAAAAGTAATATAAAAAATGTTAAGAACCATTCCAACTTCATCTCCTCCAGCTTTGGCTTGCTATATGGGTTGTTGAAAACTCCGATTTAACTACAGGCTCAGTATCCCTTATCTGTAATGCTTGGATCCAGAAGTGTTTCAGATTTTGGATTTTTTCAGATTTGGGATGCTCAACCTGTATTACTTACTAGCTTTTCTCTGCAGAATAATCAAATTTAAACCAGTCTTTTCACATGTTCGTCACACATACTGTAATTCAATTCAATACATATTTACCATGCATCTCTACGTGAAAAGAATGTACAGGAAGTTATAATTTGTCAACACTCCAAAAAATACAATTAAGAGCACATATTGTATACCTTTTAGTTTTAACAATATCTGATATATCTGCCTTTAACCAAAATGTGATTCAGTTGAGAGAGACTGAATGTGAACACTAGAGATAAGCACTGCAAATTCATCAGGGAAATCCCTATAGTCCAATGCTACTGTTTTCAATGGTTGCTATGTTATACTGCAATTGTGTTACTGGGCAACAACTCAGAAGCTATGATGGCAAGCTCACTCAAGAAACAACTGAATCAAACCAAGGTTTATAAAAGTACCCTGAGATTCAATTTCACATTTTTATACCTTCAACAGAAATAACCCTTTGTTATAAGCATCAGATACAGCTGTGATAGCAAGACTATAAAAATTACCTGGAAATTTTAAAGACATATTTGGAAAACAATAGCCACTTTCCAAAAGTCCAGGTTTAGGTTCCTAACTCTGAATTTTAATCCAAAAGCAATCTGAAGTGACAAAAAACAGAAAGCAAATAACTGGGCAATTCCTGACTTTCTCAATTTCTTTCCTACTGGATTATAGCTCAGTTAAACTCAAAAGAAATAGTACTAGACTTGACAGTCAGTGATCTCTCCCTGACCCAGAAAGGGGGGTCTTGATGGGAAAAAAATATAGAATAAATTTAAGAGAACTGTTAATTTATGAGGGCCAGATAAAAGTATTTACATAATTTCATAAGTTAAGTCTCGACCAAGTCAGAAAGTAGGATGGAGAGGAGTAAAATGGGAGACAGGGATGGAAGGAGGGAGGAAGAGCGAGAGAGAGGAGGGACATGTTTTTAAAATTAAGATTCTATGAAGGAAGAACCAGAAAACTGATCAAACTCCCCAAGCCCACATGAGAGCAGTGCCAGCATTCCTGATGGAGTCCTTACTGCTGGTATGGTCATGGTAAATTCTCAAAGATTCACACTTTCCAGGATCAGAAACTTTCCTTCTGATTCCAGTGAATCTCCACTCTGTAATCCGTTTTCTTGTGGCTTACTGTTGCCCTTCCTCCCTCAGTTACTCTTCTCTCTCAGCATCTTCCTAATTCCACTGTGGAACAAGAAAAAAAAAGTAGAGGGGCCGGCCCAGTGGCGCACTGGATAAGTGCGCCGCTTGAGAAGCGCGGCGGCGCTCCCGCCCGAGGTTTCGGATCCCACATACAGACCGGTTCCCGGTCACTGGCTGAGCGAGGCGCGGGGGCAACGCCGAGGGTTGCAATCCCGTTGCCGGTCCCCGGTCCAGTACGGGGGCAACACTGAGGGTCGCGATCCGTTGCCGGACACGGAAAAAGACAAAAGACAAAAAAAAGAAAAAAAAAGTAGAAATGCACATTCATCGTCTTTGAGAAACATTTATTCAGCAACTTCTGTTTGGAAGAAACTAAGGATACAGCTCATTGAGATCAGGTGCCTGCCCTTAAAGAGCTTACAATCTAGTTAGAAAGGCAAGACAAACATTAAAAAGTTAAATAATACAATGTAAAGTACAAGTATCAGATAAGCATGACTCACAAATACATACTATAGGAATTCAGAGGTCATGAAGGAATTGAACCTTATAGAAAAGGTTCAACTTAGATTTTAAGAAAGAAGGAAAGAAACCAGTTCAGTTAGGTAGACAGACATAAAGACTACCATGGAAATGAAAAAGCACATAGCAGGTTTAGAGAACAGTGGAAAAAACAGTCTGGGCAGAAATAAAGAATGTAAGCTTGAAAAGGCAGTCAGAGGATTTCGATGAGTTCAGCTTAAATCAAGAAATGTGAACTTCTTGTGTAGCAAATTTTTTACACAGTTATATACACACATTCCCTAAAAGTACACATAGGTTAAATAATGTGAGAAAACTGCTTCTTGAACCTAATATATTATGTATGACAAAATTAAAATCACACTCATCTCTTTAGGCAAAGAGCACCTAGAAGGGGAAAAAAAAGTTCTGACAATTCACTCATCTTTGTTAAGATTTCATTCTTCTAAGCTTCTTGAATTAGAACTTCCCACGATATAATGCTGATTTCTGATTACTAAGGATTTTATCACACAAGTCATTCTTGATTTCTTTCCTTCTGTCTTGCCTAACTTTTGCATATTCATTACTTCAGCATCAGCATATGAGGGAAAAAAGGAGGAAGAGAACTAAAATGAAATCTATGGATTTTTAACAATACAGTAAAGGCATGATGTAAAGAACATTAATTTCAAGTTCAAATTTCCATTACTAATAGTTTGATTTCAAAGAATTTATTCAGTCTCACTTTTTCTCATACACTTTCTTACTTTAAAAGTTACCACATTCAAAAGATCATTTAAAAAGTGCTCTGAAAACAAACAACTTTACTATACAAATTATACCATTAGTATTCAATGAGTAGGTTAAAAATGAGGTTATTGGGCCGGCCCCGTTGCTCACACGGGAGAGTGCGGCGCTGAGAGCGCCGAGGCCGCGGGTTCGGATCCTATATCGGGATGGCCAGTGTACTCACTGGCTGAGCGTGGTGCAGATCACACCATGCCAAGGGTTGCAATCCCCTTACCGGTCAGAAAAAAAAAAAAATGAGGTTTATTGGCTCAACCAAGGCTTAAAAACCACCTATGAATAATCAGTGTTTCAATCTCCCAACGCTGTACATAACTGTAAATTGGTATTAGGTTATTTGAGAACATTCCTAAACATAGTCTGCACACTTCACCTGGGTAGAAAAGAAAATACTCAAATTAAGGGGAACACCGGCATACTCTGTCAACTCCAATCCATTTGCAACTCTCAGGAAGGAGAGTCCTGTGTGACACTGAAATATAAAGCCGTCTAGGGCCGGCCCGTGGCTCACTTGGGAGAGTGTGGTGCTGACAACACCAAGTCAAGGTTTAAGATCCCCTTACCGGTCATCTTTAAAAATAAATAAATAAATAAAACAGCATTCTAATAATTCTAAACAAAATGAGCTTGAAATCAAACCTCAATACAAAAGGTGAGTAGTAACAGTAACCACTTACAGACTAAACTCATCAATTTAGAGAATTCTGAATCCAGATAATTGTAGGATAGATACGTTTGTGTTCTAGTTGATTAGACTTGTTTACGGAGATGTTGCTTGGTAACAGAAGCACTACTCTAAGCTACTCAGTTTTAAACCTACTCGAGTATTTTGTGCTCATAGTCTGAACAGATGACGAACTCTATCATAATATAAGAAAATCGGGATAAGTCTCTCCTTATACTAGACATGTTTGAGATCTGGAATAGCTTTATCATTACAACTAATGTGACCAAAGGCTTTCGCATGGCAGTAGGCATTTTTCAGAGCAAAGAGCCCATTCATGATGGTCAAAAGTTGGAAACTAAACATTTACCAAAGTATCCATTTAAACCCGGCATACATTAACATTTTAGACGTTGTGTCAGTAATCACAGCCAACATCACTATTAAAATAGCCTTCAAGGCCAAGGAAAATGGGAGCACAGCTTATTCATCACAAATTAAACTGGAGGTACTATACGTTTAGCCAATTACTAAACTGGCTAAAAAACCACCATGCCTGAGTGCATCAAAAAGCTCCACAAAGAGTTTCACCAGCAATAATTGGCTCAGAAAATGACTCACCGTCTACTCTTCTAACACCCGCTCCTTGTAAATTACTTTACAAGGAAAATTACAAAAAGGATAAAGGGCAGGTTGGGGGGCGGGGTGGGGGAATGAGTATTCCAAAATACGGACAAGCTACCGTCCCCAGAAAGAGAAGTTACGTACCAGACTCACACGGTCCTTGCAACGTGCGCACGTGAAGCTTAATAGCGACCGGTGTTCTGCCCGCACTTGCCACCAGGGGACACTTCCTCAGCTCCAACCACCGGCATCCACTCAACTCTGCTCGCGGAGGCATTGGGGTTAGGGGAGACGGTCCTACAGCCTGGGTGTCGGCCCAGCCCGCCACGCCTCGCGAGGTCCCGGCGGCCGCTGGCGCCGCAGGGTGAAGACGAGAAGCAGGAGCAGGAGGCCGAGAGGGCCCCTAGGGCTGCCGACCCCGGGAAATCTGAAGTATCCCGGAAGAGCTCCGAGGGCGGAGAGAGCGGCAGTGACGGCGGAGAACAGCCCCGCTCCTCTTCGGTGGGCCGGCCTCCTCAGGGGTGCGGGGCCAGCCCCAACGCCGACGTCCGGCCGAGAGGCCACCTCAGCCCCGCGGAGCTGACTCGGCCCGGAGTCCCAGCGGCGCACGAAGCAGGAAGTCCCGCCCCTACGCCGACGTCACCGACGTCACGGAAGTCGGCCGCGCCAGAGCCGTTAGAAGGTGGAGGCTAACGGGCTGAGGCGGCTGTGGCCACCAGCAACGGCGGGAGTGCCTGGATGCGGGCGGTGCTCCTGAGGGGCGGAAAGATTTCCGTGAGCCCAAGGGAACGGAAAAGCCAGCCCCGGGCACTTGCCTCAAGAAGCCAGGGTGCCGCGCGTCGTTGGAGCGGGAGGCCAGTCTCCCTCGCGTCCGCCCAGTGCAGCGTCTCCGGTGCTGTTCCCCCTTTTCCCAACTATACTCCCCTCCTCCCACTCTTCCTACACTGTTTCTGGGGGCTTCGATGGTAGCCCTGCTGTCATCGTGTCTGTGCCTGCAGATTTGCTGGCTCCCGAAGTCGCCTGCCACCACGTCAGCCTTGGGCTGTTAGCCCACGAGTGGGGAGTCGGCTCAGATGGCCACGATGGAACTCTCAGGTCAGGACAGGGCCCAGGAGGGAATCCCTTCCCTCCCCCACACCTCATTCTCCAGATCTCGTCACGTAGTCATCCCAAGTTCAGAGCCCACACAGGGTGACGTGGTGAACTTAAACTCCCTGTCTTCAGGCTGTAGACCAGAGTTGGAAAAAAGAGTACGAGCTTTTGAGAAAGTCGGTTATAACCGGCTGAAATAAGGCAGGCTTTCAGCCTTTCATGATAGGTGTGGAACCAAGGTCAAGGGTTCGGATTCCCGTACAGGCTAGCAGCCAAAAAAGGGGGGCAAATTTTTCAAAATAGGTGGTGGAAGAAATAGGCACCCTCTCTTCCGCCACGTTTGTTCAGTGCCTTGGTTTGGGTTTGATTCTCACTACCTTGTGAAGCACAGCTTATGTTTTACCCCCAAGGTTAACATTTTCAAGCTCTAGTTATGATTAGAAAGGCTCTGAGATGTGACCTTTTTTGTTGAATGAGGAAAAGGAGCCATTAGAAAGGACAGTGAGTTGGTAACAGAGTGTTACTGGATGGATTATATATACGAAATGTTGGAGATACGTGAATGAACAAAATAGAGAATCTAGAAATTTCTGTGTATGAGTTTAGTATAATAATAGCTCATATTTGCTGAGCACTTACATGTCAAATACTGGAGTATTTTTTCAAGTTATCTTATTTAACCCTCACAGCCCTATAAGATAGGTGCGATTATTATCCACGTTTTATAAAGTTACTCAAAACTATTACTTGTAAATATTGGAGACTCCAGAAGTCTCAGTGGTAGCCAGTAAACTGTACATTACAAATTATTGGTCAGTAGGAAAAAGATTATTCATGAAATGACTAGCCCGTGGGAGAGGCTTTGCATCTATCTCATTTCTACGGGGTTTTTTTCCCCTCCTTTTTCTGCTGGCTAGTACAGGGATTGAACCCATAACACATTCTAATCAACTAAGTTAACCACCCAGCTACATCTATCTCATATCTCACTCCAAAATAAATACTAGATGAATCAAAGACTTAAAGAATGAAATCATAAAAACAAAAGAAAATCAAGGTGTATTTATTTATAATATTGAGGTGAGAAAGACCTTTTCTAAGTATGAAACAAGAACCAGAAACCATTAGAGAAGAAAATGCTAAATTTAACCACATGGATATTGTAATCTTCTATACAAAAAAAAAAAAAAATCCGGTGGAAAACAATGTCCAAGGGGAAATAAATTTTTATCATTTGCAAAAATGAAGAAAAAGTATTCCTAATATACAAAGAGCTCTTAGAAAATCAATTAAAAACTTAAACATGGCAATTAATAAAATTGGCAAAAGATATCAATAAGACATTCCTAAGCCAAGAAAAAAAAAATCCAGTTAACAAATGTAAAGATGTCCAGCTTCCAAACAGATCTTTTTTTGTTTATCAGTGTCAACAGGGGTGTGGGGTCACAATTACTGTCATGTACTATTGGTGTAAAGATGAAATTGCTTGCTGGCCAGTTAGCTCAGTTGGTTAGTGCAGCCTTATAACACCAAGATCACAGGTTTGGATCACCATACCGGCCAGCCGCCAAAAAAAAGATGAAATTGGTGCAAACTTATTTACCAAAATTTAACATATGCATTAGCCTTTTCCACAGCAATCTCATTTCTGAGGCATTTGCTCTAAGGAAAATAACAAAAGAAAAAAGAAATTTATAAGGATATTCTTCACTACCTTTTTTTAAATAATAGATGCTTCTAGAAACAACATAAGTGCCCTTTGCTAGGACACTGAGAAAATTATGGTGCATGCATACTATGGAATACTCTTGTCCCATTAAAGAAAATAATGTATTAGCTGGTAGGCTCAGTTGGTTAGAGCATGGTGTTGATAACACCAAGGCATAGGGTTCAATCCCTGTGACAAGCTGGCTGGAAAAAAAAAAAAGAGGTAAATTTCTTTATATACATGAAAATATGTCTATAGAATATAGGTTGGTATCCCCCCCACACCAGGAAAAAAGCAGATTACAGATTAGCATATACACTGCTTTCTCAATGTGAATATGTATGTGTTCAAATGTGAGTATAAGTATACAAAAAAATCTTGAAGGATGTCAGTAAAAATGCAACTGATTTTTATTTTATCTTTTGGAATTTTCTATCTTGTTTGAGTTTTTTATAATGAATTTATCATTTTTACAAAAACAAAGTTGTATTTAATTTTATTTTTTAGTTAAAGATGTTTCCAGTGAAAGGGGGACCAGCTGACTGCAGGCCTTCACAGGTAGGTAACCATGATCAAGTAAGAATGTCTGGGGATCTCAGTCTTAGCTTTTTTGTGTCTATAAATTTGATTATATTAATTTATCTATAGTTTAACAAGCTAACTCACCACTTGGAAACCATAATTCTGACTCTCCAAAATGGACTGGATAACCTTCCTTCATATGTGTGCCTCTCATGGTATTTTTCACACTATAATGTAATTTGCTTTTTCTGCCACTAGACTGTCTGTTTCTACTGTATTTATGCACATATACATGCATATAGCCTTTTTCTGCCATATGTTACACATTTCTCTCTCTCTTTTTTTTTTTTTTTTATAAAAGATGACCTCTTAACCCTTGACTTGGTGTTGTCAGCACCACACTCTCCGAAGTGAGCGAACCAGCCATCCCTATATGGGATCAAAACCCATGGCCTTGGTGTTATCAGCACCACACTTTCCCGAGTGAGCCACAAGCCAGCCCTACACATTTCTCTTGATTTGTCATCTACTTATATGTACAGAAGTTTTAATTTTAACATAGTCAAAATGCTGATTGAATTATATAGGCATTAAAGGGATACTTTGAATAACTTTATGCCAGTAAATTCAACAACTGAAGTGAAATGGACAAATTCCTGAAAAAAATACAAATTACCAAAATTGATACAAGACAGAAAAGAGAATCTAAATGGCCCAATATCTATTATAGAAATTGAATTCGTAAGCCAAAAACCTCACACAAAACTCCAGGCCCCATTGACCGACCAGTAAATTTTATTGGACATTAGAGGAAGACAAAGTATCAAATCTACACTATTTCAGAAAATAGGAAGAATTACTTCTAAACTCATTTTATGAGGCCAGCATAATCCTGTTACCAAAATTTGACAATGTTTTATTTTTAAAATTACAGACCAATACCACTCATAAGTATAAAAATTCTTAAGATAATTAGCAAATTTAGCCCCAGAAATCTCACCCAGAATTGCAAACTCCAGGTGAGGAGCAACAGAGCACTCCAGAGCCTCTCCTGGGGGCGTAGGGTCCCACCCACAGCCCCAGTGACCAAGTCAATCACTCCAGACGAGGAGCTTCAGGGCACTCCAGTGTCTCTTCTGAGGACACAGTGTTCTAGTCACAAGCCTAGAGAGCCATTAAAGAAATGCCAACTCCAGCTAAGGAGCTGCAGAGCATCTCAGCCTCTCTTTCAGGAGTCCGTGGTCCTGGTCACAGCTCCAGTGATCCCAGCCAGGATGCAGGATTGCCCTCTCCATCTGAGGAGCTGCAGAGTGCCCCAACACCTCTCCTGGAGGCCTTAGATCTCATCTGCTTCCCCAGTGACCCTGTCCAGTGTCTCCTATTCTAGCTGAGAATCTAGAGAATGCCCTATGACCTCTCCTGGGAGTCTAAGTTCCCAACTGCATCCCCAGAAACTTCCCCCCAGGGCAGGCCACTCTAGCTGAGGAGCTGCAGAGCACCCCAGTACTTCTCCCAGGGGTCCATGGTCCCTCCCATTTCCCTGGCAATCCCACCCACATTAGTGGAAGAGCAGCCAATTGCCACAGCACCTCTCCCAGAACCCCAAAGTCCCAATTGCCACCCCAGTGACCCTGTCCACGGTCACCCACTTGAGCTGAGTCAATGAACACACCAGTGTATCATTGAGGGACCTGAGGTCCCACCTGCAGCCTGGAATCCATGCCCAGTGTCACCCATTCCAGCAAGAAGCTGCTGAGCATCCCAGCACCTAGGCCACAGAGGCACTCATAGGCAGTTCCAATGTTGAATACAGTCAAAGAAATCACACGGAGACTATACTACTGCACCCACTAAAAACCAAACCTAAAACACTATCCAACTGATAATACATAACACATCTACAGGAAAGAGTCTCTCCCTTTGAAATCTACTGCAGAAAATTAGAAGAAGCAGCTGTTCCACCACATCTCCAGACATCAACATAGGGATACAAGAAACATGAAAAAACAGACTGGTTAGCTTAGTTGGTTAGAGCAAGGTATTGTAACACCAAGTTTAAGGGTTCAGAACCCCATACCACCTAACTGCTGCCCCCTCCACACAAAAAAAGGAAACATGACAGTCTCAGAGGAATAAAATAATTCTCCAGTACCAGATCTCAAAGAAAAGG